AGATGCATGACTCTATGAACTCAACTCTTGAGAAGTTGCATCAAAAGGCCATTTTGACTTCTACTATTCTTCATCCTATGCCCATCTTAAGGCTAAGTAAATGCATAACTCTAAGAGTTCAACTCTTGAGAAGTAGCATCAAAAGACCATTTTAACCCTCCTTATTTCTTGGAGTTTTTAGTAGGTATATATATGGCAAGGGTCTAACCCTCTCTTAACCAATATCAAAAGATACTTCATCTCTCAGTTAGTGCACTTCGGTCTCGCCTTGTGGCTTTTGAATTCTATGATGTCTAGTAGGCATGCGTATGGTAAAGGGCATGACGTCCCTTTAACTAGTACCAAAAGATATTCTGATCCACTACGTAACCTTTGTGGTTCCAAAATCTAGAGGTATCCAATAAATACAAATATGGCTAAAGGACTAATCATCCTTTGATAAGTATTAAATGATATTTCATTGATGTTCATTTTCGTTTATTTAAAATAAACTAAGGGTGTTACAATAATGGCCTACTAACCCTCTTCTTTTTTTGATAGAAAATGCATCAACCCTTTTTTGAATATCCAGGATGTTATGCATCCCTTAAAGACCAGATTCTCGAAAAAGTAGATGACAATAGAGCAATTGGAGCAACACCCCGTTGGGAAAATGTTATGAACTTATCACTGGTGCAGTTGGAACGACCAATGCTTAAGGCGGCTTTCGAATGTTAGGTTCCAAAAAAATGGTCTTCTCTTTTGGAGAAATTGAGTTGTGTCCAACATTAGAAGATGTAGCTTATCTCATGCAAATGCCCATTGAAGATGAGATTGCCTTCCCAATTGCCAAGCAAGGGTACAAAGCAGACCTATGCCAATTGTTAGTAGGCAAAAAACTCCAACTAGAGTTAGAAGATGAAGAATCCATCACAGTTCAGTTCCTGCTAAGCCACAACACCCAAGTCTTCAAACTAGATAAGTCCGAGAATGATAGGGAAGGACAACAAAATGCCTTGTTCATGACCATCGTAGGACATCTCTTCTCACTTGACCGCAAAAGGATTCATGCAAGACTGGTCACAGTGTTGCGTCAAATCAAAGAAGCATCATCAGTCACCTTGGTCCCCATGATCTTAGTAGAAATTTTGTGGGGCCTAACCATGTTACAGACACATAGAGCATGGTCATTCGATGGCTCCTTCCAGATCTTACAACTGTGGTTGATACAACATCTACTGTATTTGGTCATCCACACCGGAAAGTTTCTATCTCAACCCACTGATGTGTGACTCATTGCGGCACTAGCAAGTGCACTAGCCGCTCAAGTAATAGAGTAGTGAGTAGAGTATCATTCCCACGAGGACTTATGTAGTAACTACTAGTAATAAATCAGTCTACTGTTATTTGATCAGTCGAAATGTAAAACTAATGAAAATCTGAAATTCTAACTACAAAGTTATTTCTAACACATTGGACCAAACACCTTGTATGCAAGTGAGGAGACAAGCTAAAGATGCATAGAAAAA